TATCTTGCTTTAACATTGTCTGAATTGAACGCTATCCAGATGGTGGGGAGGCAGAGGTAGACATAGAGGCACCCGAAGATATAAGTTTCTTACTCATTTTAAATGGTTCCAGCTCTTCAAATTCTTTCAAATTTTAATCCAAAAAGAGTAGCCAATTATAATCCAAAATGAGAAGGCCAATAATAAAAAAGAATCAATAATGAGAGAAAAAGAAGAAAAACATGAAAAAGAAAAAGGAAAAGAGCAAAAAGAAAAAATTCTTCAAATTCTTCCTGACCTTAATCCAATTAAAAAAAATAGTCCACAAAAGAGAATAAAAATAAAAATAAAAACCCAGTAAAAATAATAATAAACAAAGTCAAAGCCAAAAAGAAGGAAAAGAGAAAAAGAGAGAAAAAAACAAAACAAAAAACAAGAAGAATAAATTTCTTCAAATTCCACACCTTAATCCAGCCAAAAAAAAAAATCTCAATTGAAAAAAGAAAAAAGAAATAGTCCATTGATATACATTAAAAAAAAAAGCAGAATCCAAATAGAAAGGAGAAAAAATAAAGTAAAATAAGTCAAAATAAAGTAAAAATAAAAAAAAATTCAGAGGCTTCCCTTTGAAAATAAATCAAACTTAAAAATAAAAATAAAGACCTTAATGCTGGTGGAGGGGGTGGCGGAACTAAAAAAAAGAATTAGAAAAAGAAAGTAAACAGCAATACACTGCACTCTATTTAATTGTCCAAGGCTCTAATTATGACTCCCTAGCTTGCAGAAGGTTCTTAAGCATTCCCTTAAAGTTACTTTGTTGTAGATTTATGTTGCCATATCCCTATCCCACCAGAGGTAGGAAGCTATTGCTGTGTTGGTAGATTAAGGGTCAATGACCAATTTTATAGATTTATTGACTTTCTGATGAAGTGACTTTCTAATGCAAGTCAAGACAATTGACAACCAGCGTTTGAAAGCAGATATGATTGCACCCTTCTGCAAAAATTTTGGCTAAACCGTTTATCTTACATGCGTATAGACTACATGGTGTTCCTGAGCATATAATTTCAGATGGGGGGGGGTTCAATTTGCTTCAAATTTCTGGAAGAAATTCTTAAAGTTATTAGGCTCTGCCCAGGGCTTAAACTCTGTCCAACACCCCAAAACCAATGGGGCATGTGAGAGAACTAACTCGGTATTGGAACAATATTTTAGATGTTATATAAATTATCAACAGGAGGATTGGTCTGACCTATTGCCTTTTGCAGAGGTGGCTTACAATAACTCTGTTCACAGTAGCACTGTTTCACCTCATTCAAGGTAGCTACAGGTCAGGATTTTGTATCCATCCCAGAGGTAGCACAGGAGAAACCCAAAATCCCATCATTAACAGAGTGGATAACCCAACTCTAGCTTACCTGGCCAGTTACCCATAAAGCATTGGATGATGCTCATCAAGCTCATAAAAAACAAGCGGACAAGAAGAGAGTTCTAAAAAAAACCATACCAAGTGGGTGATAAAGTCTTCTTGTCTACTAAGTATATACGAACAACCCAGAAATCTAAAAAATTGGGACCTAAATATGTGGGACCTTTCCCAATTGTACAGGTTGTGAATCCTTTGCTGCAATTGCCAAAAAACCTTAGAAGGATCCACCCTGTCTTTTATGTTAGTTTGCTGAAACCTGAATATATGTCCCACTTGTGACCTGACCAGGCTGTCCCACCAGTTCCTCTTCTGATTGAGGGCTAGCAACATTTTGAAATCAAGGAAATTCTAGATTCCAGGAAATAGAGAGGAATACTCCAATATTTAGTTGTTTGAAATCATTGCCCTTCTTCTCAGTTGGAATGGGTAAATGAATGTGATGTTAGGGCCCCTAAGCTTATACCAGTGCTTCATTCAAAATATCCTGACAAGCCTTAATTTTGGGGGGGTATATAATATTGTGTTATGACTCGGAGGCTTTAGCCTGCTCTGTTAGAAGACACAGGCTCGAGTAATGAGGAAGAGGAGGATTTGGCCTTGAGGTTTGAGCCTGCTTTACTGGAAGATTCGGAATCATCTTCCCCCCCCCTTCCTCCCTGGTTGTGCCTCAAGTGTTGGCAGATAATCAGGAGAGAGTGCCGGAGTCCTTGGCTGAGGATCAAGCTGAGGAATGCTGGTTTGATGCAAGGCAAAGACGCAGGCAGAAGAGGGAAATGCAACGTAAAAGGAAATGTCAAATCAGGGACTGACTTGAGAGACTGACACGCCCTCAGGAAATAAAAGAGGGCGTGTTAGCTCTGAATACTCGTTCGGGACAATTTGTTTATTCGGAATAGCAGCTTGACAAATCCTCTGTGAGGCGTTCGCCTTTTGATTTATGGTCTTGTTTGTTATCGGACTTGGCAGGCAGCTTCTGGAAGACTGCCAAGGACTTCTCCAGTCAAAGGAATTTAACTCTATCGTTCCTGGTCCTGTCTGTTTATTTATATTCCTTTGGAGGCTTGGACTCTCACCTCATAGTCACAGGTGAGACAGAACAATATTGTATGTGGAATGTTTATTTTCCTATTGTTTTATTCTCTTCTCTTTTCTAGGGCTAACACCTGTTTTGCAGGAGGGCCGAATGTCAGCCTCCAAGATTCCTTCTTCTGCTTGACTATTTGCAGCTGCCATAGAAATGTGTGTGTGTGGGGGGCAATAATTGGGACTCGTGTGGGGAAGAGTGCTGGAGGTTAAAGATGTATGAATTGTAAAAGTTGGGATGCTTACTTGCTAACTGTGCCAATGCAGCCACTTATCTTTTCTAGGCCAAGGTCAACCCTCTTGGCATAACAGATGTGTGAGACACCACCTGAAGATGTAACCACATGACATTATACACACCTCAGATTGGATGTCCAGTTTGAATTGTTGGGGTTGAGAATAATGGAATAACTTCCTATATGTAATTTCCACACCTTTTGCTTCAGATCTTGTATTTCTGTTGCTACCACTTCATATTCAGTAAAAGTCCTTTTCTCTATAAAAATGGAGTCTAAGGTTTTCTTTCTTGGATTTTCAATGGAGCCACACGTGACATTGTGCTTCCAGCACCTGACCTCACTGCTAGTGATTGTGGAAAGAGAAAAGGAATGTGAAGTGATAGAAATTATAGACTCCAGAATAAAGGGCAAAGGAATATAGTATCTGATGCATTCGAAAGTATAGTCAGAATCTGAACACTCTTGGTAGAAAGCCAGATATGTCCATGCTCCTGAATGGATTCAATAGTTTCACTATTTTCCTGTTAACCTTGATTAAGTCCTGGCCCACCGCCCTACCCTAAGAATCAGTAACTGAAGGGGTTAATCAGCCTCTATGGACCTATTCAGGGAAGGTTGAATGGCTGAATACGCCTTCACTTCTGGTCTTCACATCCCAAGGGGTGGATGGGAGACTAATAATTTTTTTCAGCAAGCACCAGCTGGATCAAAGTTTGATTTGTACATGGGAAAGGAAGATTCCTTTGGAATGGCTTTACTGCCTCCCCTGCCAAGTTCACATGACAACTCAAATTCCGAAGAAACCATACAAGAAGGGGAGGGCAGCTATAAAGATGACATGGAAGAAGGGGTGATTTGAGAGAGAAGTAGTGGAAGAGTGGAAGTAAAAGAAGGATCAGACTCACTATATAGCCACAAATGCAATCAGTACAACCCACTGTAAATTCTGTTGACCCTTATCATAGCAGGCTCTAACCATTAGTTGAGAATATTCATTAGTTGAGAATATTCTTGTGCATGGGCATTAGCAATAATTAGCAACAATCTATTTAATTGGAACTTCACATGTGGTTCTAGACTTTCATGCCTGACTCTGGGTCATGAATTATACCAGTTGCAGGAATTCTATTGTTTATGAATTCCTAATTTTTTCAAAACTTGTTACTTATCGTACATTCTTTGATTTTTTTTTTGTGAGCTTGCCTGCCTTGAATCATAATCTGAATAAACCAATACTGTATAATGGTTAAAATTGTAAAATGAAAGCCGCCATGTTTCTAGTTCAAATCTTTATCTAATCCAATGTACATAAATATAAATAAGTGCTCTTAGTTCACCCTATTGGGATGTCTATGGAAATTCTCAGTCATCCTGGTCATGGTTGTCCTAAATGTTTTTTTCCATAGGCAACTGGACTTTTATGATTTTCTTTGAAGACATTTCGCTTCACATCCAAAAAGCTTTTTCAGCTCCGACTGGATGATGGGGAAATGGAGTTATATTCCTTTCAAACAGCTGACTATTTGCATTCTTTTAGAGAGTCATTGAGGCCCCTTGGAGGTTTATCTGTGTTCTCAGGGTCACCTGCATAGTGCAAATGGGTGTGGAGCTTTCTTGGAACTGCTGAAAGGACTGTCTTGTAGGCTGGACATAGATGATGACATATCCCTCTCCCTCTGTTGAGAGAGGGCTGTTTCAATTTTGACATAGATGATCTCTTTGACCCCCTCCCCTTTTCAAACCTGCAGTCCTCTCTATTATCTAAATGTGAAATTTGCTGTCTTCAAAAGAGTGGTCTTTGCTTTTTAAATGCAGATGGACTGCTGAATCTTGTCCTGATGGATTTGTTCTCCTATGTTATGCCATGTGTTTATGAAGTGGTTGTTTTGTTTCCCCAGTGTAGAGCTGTGCACGTCTCACTGCATTGTACTGCAATATACCAGGATGCTCAGTTTGTGTCTGGGTGTTTTATCCTCGGGGTGAACAAGCTTCATTAAGGTAGACGCCCATTTGTTTGAAATGGTACAGTCTTCTCTTTGAGCAAGGAGTTGGATTAGAAGATCTCCAAGGTCCTTCCAATTTATTCTGTTATTCCATTTCTTCTGCTTCCTTCAAATGCAAATTACTACATGCAATTTTTTTTCCTGGTCCATCATCTGCTTGCATTATGATTAAAAAGTATGTGGTTTGAGCACACCAATCATGGCCAACCAAATAAAATGTAACATTTCTTGCAATGATAAAGAGGTCTGATTCTTTGCTTTTAACAGGAAATGGAAAAATTTGTAGAGTTCAAATGAACATGGCATTGTAATATTTTCCCTTGGTTCACTGGTTCAAAACTTAACAGATGAAAAAAATAATATAATTGCATCAGCACTCAGCCAGCTTCCACAAAAGGTTAGTCTCCTATGTGTTAAGTCACACGCACAAATTTCTGTGAGGAAGAACACTTTATGGATATTCCAGAAATCTGTTCATTTTCTTCTTCAATAAACTGCTGATTTACTGATTTACAAAGGATGTTTATATTTCATAATTTTCATTTAATTGAACAGTGTCTAAAATTTCCTTATCCTGATAACTTTAACTTGTTTAGAGTTTGACAATTTAAAACACGTGCATTTTCAATTGATTTTATGTAACTTCTTTCTGAAAATTCCCATGCTATTAGGGAAGGGATTGTAAATATTTTTTGTTAAAACTCATGTTTTTTTATGGACTTTATGATAAAAGACACAAGAAATACAATAAGCATCTATTAAATTTTAATTATGCAACATAAATGTTGTAAATGCAAGTAGAATTCAAAACAAGAATTACTAATAAAATGATTTCATTATTTTATTGTCATTAAAAAGAATGGCATGTAATTTTATTTATTCATTGCATTTAAATTATCTTGTAATCTCTTGGAATTTCAGCAATTTTACAAGAATGCAACATTAAAAGATCCATGACCCAATTCAAACCCAAAACCCAGACTAGAAAATCAGAAACTCATGAGTCAGGAAAAATTCTAACATTGTTTGCAATTTGTATTACATGGAATAGCATTCCAATTATTTTTACCTTAGGTTATTTGGTGGTATAAGGGGGAAAAGCTAGAAATGCTTGGAGCCAATACAAGGACCTATGATTGGATACCACAAAATGATCTTCTTGGTAAGGCACTTTTAGCTCTTTTAGATTGAATAAAAGTCATTTTGCTCATATCCTAAAGGATTTTGTGAGAACATTTTCATCTTTCTCTTCCAGGTCATCCAAAGACCAAAGCATTTATAACAGGTGGAACAAATGGAATTTATGAAGCCATTTACCATGCAATTCCCATAGTAGGGATTCCCCTATTTGCAGACCAGATTGATATTACCGGTATGAAGGCAAAGGGAATGGCCGTGGAACTGGACATCCACATAATGAAAGCAGAGTAAATGCTTTGAATACTGTCATTCATAATGCTCTGTGAGTTGTTTATAAACTCTCTTCAGAAATTGAGATACAGATTGTGTCTAAGATATTCATAGTAATCAATTTGCTGGTTTTTCTTTGATGTCATGACTATTTTTCCAAAAATAGAATTCTGATTACTTTTCCAGTTATGATATTTTATCTCAGGTAGGCCTAATTTTTGTCTGTCTATAAAAAGAGAACAGTAGAATATGTACTTTGAGCATTTTACTGGATTGGGTCCCTTCCAATTATCTGTGCTACTTAGGACTATATGGAATTTGGAGCATCATCCTTCCCCTGATATAGAAGGCATTTGTGCTTTGTTCAGTATATCTAAATGTATTGTTTAGAAAAGGATATTAAAATTCTAGCCAACTTTTTGATATTTTTTATACATGAAAATGAGTCATTGTCACAAGTGTCATTGAAGATAAAATAGTATTTGACTAGAGTATAAATAAGCTAGCGGTTGGTTGTGATAGCAGTGGAACTTATTTTGAGTGAGAAACTACTGTGTTTCTCACAAAATAAGGCCGGGCCTTATTTTCCTTTGACCCCTGAGAAAATGGCTAGGCAGTCTTTTTGGGGGTGACTTAATTTCCTCCCCCACCTAGAGCGCCCCATGCGCACTTACTTCTCCACAAGGCTGTTTCTATTGGCCAATGAAAGCTCCCCAAAGGCAGAGTCACCAGCCGCTTTTGGGCAAGGTGTGGCTGCCTGTGTCCCCTCACCATGAGGCAGTGTCTTTCAGGCAATGGAAACTCCCCAAGGGCAGTCACCAGCCACTTCGATCGGCTGGTAGAAGTGGCCTCAGGGCGAGCACCCACGCACGTTCCCCTCATAAGGCCACTTCTATCGGCTGATGAAAGCTCCCCAAAGGCAGAGTCACCAGCCACTTCGGGGTGAGGCGTGGCTGCCTGTGGGGCACTCCTGACAGGAGTGCCGATGCACACTCGCCTCGCCATGAGGCAGTGTCTTTTGGGCGATGGAAGCTCCCCAACAGCAGTCACCAGCCACTTTGATCAGCCGGTAGAAGCGGCCTCGGGGCGAGTGCCCACACTCCCCTCGCAGTAGTTTCTCCTGTCAGGAGCCATGCCTTGCCATGAAGCAGCTGGTGACTCTGCCTTTGGGGAGCTTTCATCGGCCGATAGAAGTGGCCTCACAGCGAGGGGAGTGTGCGTGGGCGCTCGCCCTGAGGCCACTTCTACCGGCTGATTGAAGTGGCTGGTGACCCTGCCTTCAGGGACCTTCTATCGGCTGATGTTCTATGGGTAGTAGATCGGGGTATTCTAGCCTAGGCTACCTGCAGGGCGCTTCTAAAGGCAAGTTTTCTCCCCCCCCCCATTTCTCTTCACCTCATGTAGTTCTAACAATGTGAGAAATGGCGGGGAAACGCATGGTTTAAATAGGCCTAAATTTTGGTGGCGGGGCTTAATTTCACCTCATGCCTAGAAATCATGCTGGGCCTTCCTATTGGTGGAGGCTGTATTGTTGGAAAAACACAGTATAACAGGCGCTAAGCCAGTTTGAATTTTGACAAATCAGTAGATTGTTTGATGTAAAGTCCGTTAAGTGCTTGAAGACTGAAGTTCTTAAAAACAATAGAAAGCTGATTTCTGACTCTTTTCTAATTTGTTCTTATTCTTTTCCTTGTCCTTTAATTTTTCCTGTTTTAAGAAAAATGCGCTTAAAGTATCAGAAATCCATCATGCTCAACTAATAAAGCCACTGGACCGGGCTATCTTTTGGATTGAATTTGTCATACGTCACAAAGGTGCCAAGCATTTGCAAGTAGCTGCCCATCATTTGACTTGGTATCAGTATCACTGTCTGGATGTCATAGCCTTAATTGGCTGCACAGTTGTTTTTGCATTCATCGTTTTTAAATGCTGTTCATACTGCTTTGAGAAATGTGGCAACATTTTACAAAAATAAAAAACAGAATAATTTTTCAAGGAATCAGTCTCCAACTCCTGAGTTTATGCGTATTATTAGTATGCTAAGATTTATATTGTTTCCATATAATTAGATTCCATTCATAACGTTAATTTTTTTGAATAAATGGTTAACAAATTTAATTAGTTTTGATTTAGTTAAGTGATTTTGAAGTGGAAAATTGAGCTATGAGAAATAATTTTTTGCAAGTAGTATCTTCTCTATATAATTCTTTCTCCAAATCATTACTTTATTTAGACATTCATATGTATATATTTTTTTTCCTTAAATGCCAATCACTTGTTTAAAAATGTTTATGGAAGTATCTAAGAAAATTAGGTAAAACTAAACTAACTTCAGTTGTCATAACACAAACATAAAGAAAAGTCACATTAAACAGTAATTTATATAGAACTTTTGGTTCTGTGTTGTATTGTAGCTCTTCAGATGGACAACATCTTTACTACTGTATTAAGAGTAACAAGAGTTAACAAGTTTCCAAAAGTTGTTGCTTTCACAATACAATTTTTATAACTTCTATCTAGAAAATACTTGATCTTAAGCAAAAAACATTCCAAATATCTCCCAGACCTTTCAGTAGAATTCACTGCCTGTCTTATGCAATATTCATATCAACAAATGGGCTTTATCAGCTGTAAAGTCTTAGAAGGAAAATGCCAAGATTTATGTTTTCTCAAGGTTTAAAATATTTTTAAAAATGGATTATGCATGTCATGGCTGCTGTTCCCCAAGCCAAACTTTGTAAACTAACAGCCTGACATTGGGGGGGGAGGGGGGAATCTAAGCATGATGGCTGAGGAATGAGGCAAATACACCTGCTGGCCAATGTCACCCATTGGAGTGCAAAGCAGAAAAGTATGTAAAATCAAAGGCCTATTACCCAAACAATATACCAGCACTTAATTAAATGTTTGATGATAACAGTGGGGATGGCCAAAGAAAAGGAAATGTTAATTGTGTAGAGTGTGCACTAAAACACCAGGACCAGCTTCACTAAACTTCTGTAATCTTTTAAGCTCCAGTAAAGTTGTACTTTTGATCTGCTGGGTGAATGAATGGGATGGTTAACTGCATTATTTTCTTACAATTGTGCACAAAATTTTTAAGACAAAACACAAAATCTTTTGCCTCCAGCAACCAACTGGCTCCTTTGCCTGTAATAAATTTACAATAACTCTCACAAAATTATCTTCCTTTTCTGTGCAGGGAAAAAAATAAAAATAGTGCTTTCCTTGATATCCTGTCCTTGAGAGAGCAGAGTTTATTTCTATCCTCTGGGATATCCTGTTAGAGGAGAGAGTCTATTCTTCTAGATACAGTATTTTCTTTCTGGAAGAAGATCGTTTTAAATTAAGGTGTATCTTTCTGAGTACATGCTGTATTGAGTTAACCAATTGTTTTATTTGTTCTAGGCCTTGTAAACATAAATGCTTCGGAAGAAATTCTCTCTGGTCTTTTCATGCTTTTATTCCATAAAAGAAGAAAACACCACAAAAAAAAGTTAAAAGAAAACACTATTTTTAATAGAAATACAAGGGTTTTGAAGTCAGAATATTAACCCTTTCATTGACCACATCAATGTATTTTCTATATAAATAACTGATATCTAATCTCATAGGTTTGTTTCAAAAATACCCAAGCACACTTTCAAATTGGTTAATCAATATTGATATTATATTAAAATGATTTTATGAGCAATCATACATAAACTGCATTATATTCCTATGGTGACAAAATAACAAGATTGGTAAAGAACACCAAGTATTGCTATTTTTTGTTTTATTTTAGAATAGGAAAAAAGGAGAAATGTTATTTGTGGAACCAAAATGTCCAGAAAATGTATATTTCTAGCTTTTTAATTAGATAATGACTATAATTTGCTAGAATATCAGACTATTCCTACTATAATATCAGATAGACTATTTGCTTCGTCTCAGGCATGAACAAGCATTCTTACTGGCAGTAAATTGCATTAAATAGCATGGGACTTGGTTAAATAAATTAACATGAAACTGTTCACTGGCCACGAATTTCCAAGTTTCCTTTTTTTTATAACAAAACTATGCACTTTCCTGAGTCAGAGATTCCCATACTTTATATTTTTATGGAGTTGTTAATATATATGCCACAAATTTAAATATATTAGATAGGAATAGCAATTTATTTGGTTTGTCATCATGACTTAGAACACCCTGACAGTACCTCTATATCTGTCTCATGCTGAGGCCTGAATGCCTGAAATGACATTGACAAAATAATCATTAATCATTCTTTTTTTAGAAGCCAGAAAGCATCAAAGTCCATGGAATTTAACTATTAGCAATTTATTATAAAAAAAAGAAATGGTAGCAATGTAAAATACAACAGTATTTGTGCTCACGCATATATGCCCACACACATACAATGGACATTCTAAACAGTATGGTTAAACTGGAGAAAAAAGGGTGCAAGTAAGGTGATTAGACGAGCATTAAACAAAATACAATCAGCACAGGTTCAATAAAATATTACTATTGCTTCCATTATTGAACAAGCTTTGTCTTTACAAAAATTAAAACAGAAACATAAAAACAAAAGGCGACTGCTTCAATACTGCCATACAACCAACTATCACACACCCAGTATTTTTGCGTTGATAGTAGCATTCCATGCTACCCCCCTAAAAAATATTAAAAGCTACATGTCAAAAAAAAAAACAGAGCAAAAATCATGGCAGCTAATAACTCGTATTCAAAGGAACATATAATTAAATTATTGTTAAGATAAACATGTTGGGAAAATTCATCTACATTCTTTAAATGTTGTCTTCTAAACTGCTTAAATTAAAATATCAACTGAAGAATCAAGCTTTGCATGTTTTTGGCCAAAATATGTATTTCGGTTCACAGCTCACAGCATGCTTGGAACAGGGGCAATTATAAATTCATCTACACAATCAAGTATGATGACTTAAGAAAATAAAAGTTTACTACTTGTAAACACGCAAATATACAAGCCTTTGCTTCCTTAAGTAATTGTAGTTTCACAATACATTATCTTCTGTATCTTCCTCTTTCACCTCTGTCTCTATCGCGATCACATATTCTTTCCCTCT